AAATAAGAATAATGCAAAGCCATAAGATTTGGTGTGGACAACTTACCATTTTGCAACCTTATTTTAGGGTGAGAAAAACATCTTTATAAAATATTGCTACTTTTGCAATTTTTCTTTTATTATTTGAACCATCTGATCTATATGAAAGTGTGAAATCTATTCAAACACAGATTACAGATAAGTCTCCTAGCCACTGCAGATTCTAATAATAATTCTAAAGAACATTTAAAAACTCTTGAAAGCATTTGAAGTTTTGATAGAAAAACCTGTCAAATTTTTAATAATAATATATTTAAAGAACAATACCTATTTTCAAATAAGCAATGTTAACCATGAAATATTCTTTTTGGTAAACTCTTATATCTCTAAATATGAATATATATAACATAGGCCAACATTAACATCATTCTACAGTAAAAGGAAAAATGAAAAAAATGTATATCTCTATGATTATGCTTAGTCCAAAATTTCCTAGAGTCTATGCACTTACTCAAAGAAATACAATCCTCAATGACAATAGTTCTGAGTATTTACTAAACACAATAGCCTCTCAAGGTTTTAACACTAATATAGTAAATATATATGCTAAACCACCTTCAGTTCCACTCTTAGTCTAAAGGTAAAGCAGAAACCTATAAGTGAGGCTATAGAAGAGATGATCCACTGTTTTTTGGTGGACAGTGTTCCTTCTGACACTGTACTCAAACACTGTGCTCTTCCTGCTCCATATCAAGGACAGATACAACATTGCTTTCAATAAACATAAGAGTTAACTGAGAAAAAAGAATTTTCAAGACTTATTAAAAAGTAAACTTATATATGAAACCAATTCTGCTGAAAGCCAGTATGTAAAGTGGCCAATTAGACAAGAGAAAGCTGACTCTTTAATCAGAAAACTGTAAAGTTCAGAGTCTGTATCATATTTTATAAAATGGTGTTTTTTCAGTATGCCTTTTTGGGCATTCAAGAACTTTTAAAAATATATAGACACTCCTGGCTGTACAGAAGCCTCCTCCAATCAAAGCATTGCTAGGGCTTCACATGATAGTCTTACACTCACCCCTTCCTCTTACAGAAACCAACATATTCCTCACTATAGTCATCCTGTAGAACTGTAGTTTTAATCAGCAGTATATCATGAGTTACCTTATCTCTTTAAATGAAAAAGGGGGAAAAAATCCAGTTAAGTAGATTTAATCTGGTTTTTTTTCTGCTTTGCCCTCCTGCTCATTATCAATTCTTATTCATTCTGAACTGTGTTATCAAGTCATGTGTTATCAAGAATTTCATTTCATAAATGTGAATGCTTGCACAGACACTTGTTAACTATCATAATTATAGTAACTAGACAGGTAGTCAGTAGCAAAGCTACAATTTTGAACTCATTTTTTTAAGTTGATCATCATAGTGCTCTTCATGCTTAAGTTTGAGACTCTTGTTAAATCCTCTAAATCTTGCTCCACTTCTTGTGTATAAAATGTCTGTGTACTCTAACATGAGAGGAAAAAAATCCTAAAATCTATATTGAGTCTTCTGCTATATTTGCCTACCAGCTGTCTCACCCTGGGAGTTAGTTCCATAGATAACCAGTCTGACTACGTAGATGTTCAAGGCATGATGCACATGCTTCTGAGTTTACTATAAACTTGCACATTTGTTGAGTCATGCAAAGGAATATGTGAAAGCTAATGAGCAACTAAGGACTTTACTATGGGGCAGTACTACATTTTGTAGCAAATCCTCCAAAATATCAAAAATCTATACAAATTACATTGATACAATGAATAACAAATAAGTAATGATACTTTATGGATCTGAATTTAACTGTTACATTTTATTCTAAGGTTCAACAGCACTTTTCATTAAGTATGTGAAGAAATTTTATTTTACAAAATTGAATTATTATAATTGTTTAAAAATTAATTATTTAATTTTGATATGTTTAGAACAATTATTATACTGTAGTTTTCCCTTTACCGGCAGTCTAACCACATAATAGATATTTTCAGTAATGAACATTATAAAATTAGAACAAATCAATATAATTTATGGTAATATTAATTAATAACCTAAAATAGATGCAAAAAATAAGTACTTGAATATTCCTGGAACTTTCTACATCCTACATATTTTGTCCAACATATCTTCCATGGTCAGTTCCACAATGCTGCTTCTATCAGGATTTAACTCAAATGCCATTTCTCTGAAATTTTCCTACATCTACATTGGAAAAGGCATTCAACATACCTATGGAAGTTGAAACAAACTTAAAGCACACTATGCATTTGTTACATATAACCTCTAGTTTCCATATAATCTGTTTTGACAACTCAGATTAAAACTGCCTAAGGGCAAGGCACATTTTTATTATCACCATAGAATAGAAAGCTGGGTGCATGGAAATAACTCAGAAAGGAATCTGAAAGAAACAATCTTAGATTGACAAAACAACAACTTCTCCTACTAAAGATGACTTGTATGATTATAGAAACAGGAGGGAAAAGTCTATAATATTGAACTAATGTGAAAATGATACAAAAATCCATGAAGATATAAAGTTATTGTTATCCAATCAAATGCATCAGCAAACTCCAAAATGCATGAAGCATCCCCACAGTTTAACATTAAATCACAGTCTTTTGAAAATATTTGTGATGATTTAAACCAGGATTTACATTTCTGGGATACTTTATATTTCTGTTTTAAAAGAGATCTAAAATATATGTTGAAATGTGATTCTGGGATTAAAATAATGAATTTCTACATTAGGCAGAAATGCTTTGTAGTAGCACATCATATGTCTCCTAAGACATGGTAATTTCTGAGATTCAATATAAGAGTTTGTATGAAAAATGAAAAGGCTTAAAAATATTAAGAGCTGGCATGCATCTGAGCACCTGTAATCCCAGCTACTCTACAGGCTGAGCAGGAGGAGCACAAATTCATGGCCAATCTAGACAAATTAGGGAGACCCTGTCTCAAAAAGTAAAAAGGGCTAGGATGCGGCTCAATATGCATGGTAGGTAGGGAGACTCATGGGGTAGTGTTTGGCAGAAGACTCAATGTATTTCTTTTATCTACAGTATTGTAACCTTTTTTTGCGAGGCAAACTAATAATAGTTAAGACAATTTGATTATATAACTAATCTCTTTTTAATAAGAGGCACTTCCTGAGTAAAACTTGCTCTTTGGTAATATTGAATTTTCCTTTTAGGGATTTTGGAAATTTCAAGAATCACTGTCGGTCTTTCTTTCTACTTTGTCACTTAAAATACACAGTTTCAAATAGACAATATAACTAGTGTGTTTAAAAGTGAATATAGGGGTTCATTCTAGGAGTAAGTTTGTAATGCTCCTTTTTTCTATTTTTTTCCCTATTAGTTTTTCTCTGTTTCCTCTCTGTTCTGTGATTCCCTTTTGTTTAACAGTATGTGAAACATGGTCTCATCACATGAGTCCTTTTAGATAGAAGCCCTGATTCTTTGGATACAGCTTTTATGTCACCGCTTCTGAAAAAAAAAAAAATAGGCAAACAAAAGCAGACAAGCAACCAAAAAACCAAAGTGATTCCTATAATTATGTATTAAATTCTGGAAAAGTACCCTTCAAGAAATAAGGACAACCGATCCTGGATATACTGTACTTCTGTCTTGTTCTTTCTCTTATAGGAAAGATCTCACATCACTGTCACTTGGTGCAGTGTCACCTCACACACTAATTAAGGTAATTGGTTTGTATTTGCCGATTGAGCACATGAATCAATAACTGGGCATATTGACACATTTCCACAAAATATCCTAAATAAATTTGTCTGAAAATGTTGGCACCTATATCTAAAGATAAGTTAGAGAAAAAAAAAAACTTTTTTTTTAATAGAAAAGGAATAATGTCCAAATACACATACTTTTTGTCACCCAACTTTCCTTGTACATTAATTTTAGTGAATAAAAATTATTCTTTAGAAAGCAGAACTGTGAAAAGTAAGCACATTTTGTTACCCTGAAGTATGGACCTATGTTCCTCAGGAGTAAAATCAATTCAGTGTGTATTGTGATTTGGAGCCATGAGAATGCACAGTGCTACAGGTGAATAATAACACACAAGAGTCAAATGCTGTCTGACTGGAAACCAAGAGCCAACTGTTAAGCATTCATCAACACAGAGCATGCCACTACAATAGGACTCTATGTTTGCCACACACTATTTACTTAGTGCTATATAAGAATCTTCCATTGAAATTCCATCTGATAACAGGCTTTAAAACACATTCAAAGCTCACCTGAAGATTCCTCCCATAACAATAGTTGTGATTTTACTCATCTACAGATCCACATTTAATTTAGAGAAAATTAATAATCTAGTTTCATTTTTAAATTTAAAAGAAGGAATTTCACTTTAATATATTTTTAGTTTTAACTAATTTCATTGAGAACAGATTCTGCGAAGAGATTTTCCAAAATGTCACATCCAACTGCAACTCTAACACATCAATCACTTTTTTTGTTAGTAGAAATTTCTTACTTACCTTTTACTTAAATTTCTTACATACTTTTACTTAAAATTACTTTTAATTAATATATAATTAATATTATCTCTCAGGATTTGGATTTATAACTAAATAATTTCTGTTAAAATTTGTGTAAATTGTCTCAACTCTCTAGTTATTTGTTTTTTAATTTTATAAATATAATTTTTAAGTCTACACAGGGTTCATTGTTAATGAGAGCATGATATTATTTAGCCCAGAAGCCTGTATATATCTTTGTCAATGCTATTAATTTTATTTGCATGATTTCTGCAAAATCGTACATAAATCGATATAGAAGTAACAGTGTCTCACAATCTGATATTTATTGGGCATTCAAAACAATAGGATTTTAATATTAGGAAATTAAAAAAATACAAATGTCCTTAGCTTGACTAAAGACTATTTTGTCCGCTAAATTTAAATAAATTATTCTAAACATGAGCACTATTTGCATCATAAATCTATTTCTTACCTGTGCTGCTGGATATATTGACATCAATACTGATATCAGATATTCCTCCTCCTTTCAGAGAGGCTACACATGTGTATGTCCCAAAATCCGTGAATTTTAAATCAATGATATCCAAGTTTGTTGTTCCAGGGGAGATGTCGGGGTCAGTCTGTGTAATAACCATCCGCTCAGAACTTCTTAACGGGCGACCATTTTTAAACCAACTAAATGTCAACTCCTCAGAAGGAACAGCTTCTACTTGGCAAGATATTTTCACCTCTCGCCCAATCTGGATGTTGTCATCCTTGTGATAAGGATCTGGGGTGATCCAAAATCGTCCTTTTTTTAATGCTAAAACATAAAAATTCCATGAGGAGTTAGTGGTACTTTCATAACCTTAGGGATTATTAATTTCACTTTAGGTAATTATTCCTGGGCTGAAATGATGTAAATCAAAACAATAATAAATGTGCATAAGGCTTCTTTAGGTTTCTAAATATTGTGGTAAACCTGAGTTAGGTAATTCAGCAATAATCTAAAACAATAAGCCATTTAAAAACTATAAACACTTGTTTTTATAAATCAGATAATGTTTTCCTGTGATACAAAAGTACACTTTAAGTCTATGTGAAATTAAATTTCAATATACTATGCTACTATTATTTTTTTGCAATTGAATTTTGAACAAATGATGAACTTTATTTACATAAAGACAGTATATTAAAGTTAAAAGTAATAACATGGATCATTTAGTCTAATACCATTTCTATGCCATTTTTAATTATTCCATAATTTTCTAAACAACTCAAATATTGTACAACTGTCATATTAAAGAAAATTCTTCTAAGGTTGTATCTTATAATGACCAAAACCAGTTAAGAATTGAGTTGTTTTGTATTTATGAAGCATTCTCAGGTGTAGAAATAATGTGAACTAAAAAAGAAAATGAAAAGAAGGAAAAACTGGAAAAAATTTCAAAACATCTTATATGAACTGCTTTATTCTTCCCTAATGGATGTTTCCAGTTAAAACTGTTTGCTAGATCTCTCCTACAGATGACCAAATGGACCTCTCTGGCAGATGATTTGGAATACCTGCCATGTTTGAATCCTAAAAGTGGTGTTTTCTGGGTCTCAGGTCACTGCTGTGCTGACACTATGATCAGTAGTAATGACTGTTAGAGAGCTGCATCTATAGGCTTCTTAAGAGCCTGAACTTTGAATGACATGGCGGGACTCAATATGGAATAGAGTTTGCTTCATTTTATGAATGATTCTTTTATACCCACATTTTCATTTTTTTCCAACATCCTCTTCAGTCTCCTTTGACATCATTATTCTCATATGATGAAATATAGCATAGGTAGTGAAACACAATTGTCAGAATAAAATATTGATAAATCATTTTTACCATTAAAGTTACAACATAATGATACTGTGAAAAAAAAGACATGAATTCAATAGACCTGCAGATAACAGAGGCCTTCTAACTGCAATTGGGGACAAACTCTCTTTAATTTAAGCAGATTTTCCTCAGTCTGAGAAAGGTCAAGGAACACCATAGAATTCTGTAGACATGAGAAGAATGAACTGGAAATGAAGACATTTTCAAATCTTAAAAAAAAAAAAAATGTTGATTCTAAATTTCTTTACTCTATAGTCTCAAATATTTTTATCTGTTTGCTTGTTTGTATCTTAGCACATGAGGAGAGATAAATGAATATCAAATTTAACATTTCTATTATTTTATTCAAGACATATTTATGGAAGTGCTTCTCGGGACTAGGCACTAAATGAGGCCCTGATTTGTGAGATGAGAAACAAACAAAGAAAAAAACATGGTCTATGGTCATAGTTTATGGCTCCATTTATTTACCAAATGCTTGTGATGCTTGTATGTAAATGTAAGAAATGTTTTATATGCTTAAAGAAGTCTGAATCACAGAAAAGAACACCCAAAATTATTGTTTAGAAAATGTACTAAGCTTCAGTCTTAATGAAAACACCAGGATATGAATATTTTAATACTGTTTACATTTTTCCATAATAAAAAATTCAACTTTTGAATCTTATTTATCCCTAAGAAGGTTACTATAGGACAAAATTAGGATAAATTGTGGTTTCTATTACTTAGAGTAAAGTACTTATATATTCATAGGCACTGAAGTACAACTTCACAATGTATCCAGAAAGGGAAATGTGATAAAAACATTCATGGTAAATAATAGTGTGCACATACAATTCAATGGACTCACAGTTCTAAAGCGTATAAGAGCACAGAATATCCTTTAAATAAAGATCTAAAACAATATTGTATCAAGAGCGTTTACTTTTGTCAGTATCATAATACTTGCATGAGGATTTCTTTTCTAAGAATGTTCCTTATTCTGTTTCTAAAGAGAAAAGATAAACCTAAAGAGTTTTTGGATTTTACATATTATCTTACTAGTAACTTCATATTAATATTAGGGTACTATGAGGGTACTTAGAATAATTTACATTACAGAGTTTATGTTTGCGGCAGATAAAAACACACATCAGAAAGCTTGAATGCTTGTGTGATTAACATTTACTTACTATGCAGTCATTATTTTGTAGTTCTATGCTGTGCATAGTGAACATATTAAAGTGATACTGACACTGAAAGAATTATAAATTAATCAACCAAATTAGATTTATACTGCTAAACAACTCAACTGCTGATAAAAAATGTGAAATGAATATATATCCATGGCAAGAATTACCTATTCTTTTATTCCTGGAAAACAATTCATAAGACAAAATATTTAAGAAAAGATATTTATTACAGTTTAGATTTGGGGTGTCTCCATAAAGCTCATGGGTGAGACAATGTATGAAAATTTTAAAGTGAAATGATTGGTTGGATAAGTCTTAATCAATGCATTAATCCACTTACATGGGTTAACCTGGATAACTGTAGGCAGGTAGGTTGTGACTGGAGGAGTTGGGTCACTGGGGGTGGGGGTGTAC